AGGTTCTCATCGTGGAATTTGATGCTGGTGAAAGGAAAAAAAGGGGAGCTGATTATAAAAATGCTTGGTCCTGCTATAGGGGCTTTGCCTGGTTTCCCTCCTCAAACAAGTAGAACATGTGAAATTGCTCCGTTTCCTGACACCTGTATTAAACCACTGCAAGATGTTCTGTTGTTGTGGTAGTACCGTCAGATGACTTGCAGAAAGCAATCATAATTTCCAATACGTCTGCTGTTACAATGTTATTTGGTATGTATTTGGATAAGATGGATACCGAGGTTCCTGATGGTCCCTTTGCCAAGCATTGATGAACTTTCCTGGAAAATTGTGCAGGGAGATTAAACTGTCATGGAGCAACCCAAATGGAGGAGAATATAAGTAGTACATGGATTGGATGTACAGAGCATATACAGACTGAACAATCAGTTGAGGCACAATTAACACAGTGATGAGGTAAGTTTGCTTCGATGAGAAAGTACCCTGGCTCAGTAATGTCCGCTCAGCGAAAAGAGTGGCATCAGAGCTTGTTTGTGATAATATTCTTAATAAGAAAAGCATCTATTTCCCTTCTTGCTAGGACCATTTGGATGCCAGCGATCTGTTTCCCCCCAAATCTTCATTTGCAGGTCATTGAAGGAGTAGGACCAACAAATCAAGCTTATACCCAGAGCCCTGTGCCAAAGGTTGGCTCCAGCATGTGAGGTATCTATCTCTACCCTCTTCTCTGTGGACCATTCTCATCTTTCTTGAGATTGGTCCATTACTCTGGTTTAATTTAAGTCTGCAGTATTTTGTTTGGATCTTACCAGTAACTAGAGTCCTCTTCTACACTTCAATAACAATATTGGACTTGTTCAATGATTGTTTCCAGGTCACGGTCCATGATGTATATAACCATACCCGAGTATTTATGAGCAGATCAATTTTAATCCATTATTGCACGCGTATGAAGCTACTACAGTTTTCGTGTCCATCTCTAACAGTTGCTCTGGATACACTGTACACGAAATGCACATAATGGGGGACCGCAAAAGGTTAAACTTGAAACATAAGCTATTCAGCCCATTGTTGCAGTATAAAGGACAGTTATGGTAGGGACCAGGCTCATAATTTAGTCTGTAACGTTTCAGGGGTTTGTAGATCGATGCAAGATTTTCCAGTGTCTGTTGGAGGTTGGTGAATAATATCGGATTGAGATGTGAATGAGAGAGAGCAAAGAGGGGGAGCTTTGGCAATGAATGCGACGGGTTTCTTATGAAAGGGTAAGCACAAAAGAGGAGTGGAGGCGTATGCTTTTGACCTGATCAAATTGGGATTGATTAGGAAAGCGACGGAGCGTAAGACGAGGACATTACCGCCGCTTATGAAACTTCTGTGAACGAGAGAGGGATTGAGAGACAAAGGGGTGGTTTACGGTTGTGTGAAGAAGTACAGTGAATGCAACCTAGTATAGGTGATATGAGAGAGGGGGGATGTTGTAATTTAGTAGGAGCCACAGCTTACTACTGTTTTCGGTTCTGACAGGAAGAGTGAGGTGCTCCCTAGATGTTGGGAGTTAAGGTGATTTCTTTCGTGGGATGTGGATGGTTGACAAGTGTCGCTTGTTTTTTTATGGGAATATTGAAGCTTTCATGGGAAAATGAGTGGAGATTGATTGGTAACAGTTTGTTAACACAGAATGATGAATATGCTAATTTGAACCTCAAAAGACTTCGGGATCGAAGTATGGCCCGAGAGAATAAAGGGCAATTTGTAAGTGGAGGACGTTTAGCTTTGTTTCTTTTTCTTTTTAGTCTTTTCCCCCCTTTATTTATCGGCATTCTTCATATATTCCTCATGTAAGGCATAATATGTGTATATAATGTAGTCTAACAAAGTTTGATCTCTCCTGCATGCCTTGTGTAATACGAGGATTATTGTTTACCTTAAATAATTCATCAATTGAACTGGTAACTTAGAATCAAACGGATATTCTTTACTCGGTTTAGTTATTTGAACAACTAAATTAGTTGGAGCCTGATTTTTTTTAATCGCTCACATGAGAATCGAATTCAGACCGTCCACAACGGAACGGCACGTTTTTTTACCATGTGACATACTGGTCAGATTTTATTTGAATTTGAACAAATAAAGTAGATGGGCTTAGCAGTGGAATGTTGAGTTTTCTATATTTTATCTTATTCAAATTAGAGAACATTAATTTGTCCGAAGGGGATTAAAGCTTACAACAGTAACGTGGAACTTCTGTTAGCTGACCTATGTCACATATTAATGGATATAAAGCAAACTAAGTTGCTTAGTTTAATAAGCTTAAAACTCAAAACGTGGTATAACGAAGCGGTTAGACTTTTTATGCGTGGGCTCGCCCAAGGATCTTATTAGGGGTCTGTTTGGTTGGTTTCCTAAAAATCAAAGATTAGGAAATTGGGTCAAGGAAATGTCAAAAACATCAATTTCCTCCATTTCTATCTTTAAAACTCATCATAACATCCAATAAAATATTATTTTCATCTAACAACTCATCCACTTTATCTAATAAAATATTATTTTCATCCATCAACTTATCTCATATCATCTCCTAAAAATAAACCAAACACAAGAACTAATAAAATATTATTTTCATCCATCAACTTATCTCATATCATCTCCTAAAAATAAACCAAACACAAGAAATGAGTCACATCATCCAACTCATCATATCATCTCCTAAAAATAAACCAAACACAAGAAATGAGTCACATCATCCAACTCATCTCATCTCATCTTTAAAAATTACCTACATCATCCAATAATATGGCGACAACTCATCTCATCTCATTAACATTTCATTTCCTCCCATTTCCTAAAAAAAACTAAGGAAATTGATTTCCTTAAGTGTGAGCCACATCATCCAATAATACAATGACAACTCATCTCATCTCTTATTTTAAGAATGAACCAAACACAAGAGAAGAACCTATTATAGGAAATAAATTTCTTATAATTCATTTCCTTATTTTTTTAACCAACCAAACAACCTCAAAATAAGTTTTCTTAAAAATTCACACAATCATCCAATAATATGGTGACAACTCATCCCATCTCCTATCCTATTATTTGATTTCCTTCTTTTTTTAGCCAACCAAACGACCATAAAACAATTTTTTAAGAAATATGTTTCATATTATTTGATTTCTTTCTTTTTTTTAGCCAAACAAACAGGCCCTTTACTTTCTAGGAAAAGGGAGGAGAGATTTATCAAAATGTTTGACACGTATTAATATTAATATGGTCCCCGGTCGCAGGCACAGCCCCCACCGTCCCTGATTTCCCATGTGCCGCCCGGTGATCCGTCCTCTGGTCAGCCAATGGGATGTCGCCACCTCATCCCCCGTCGACGTCACACGTGCCGGTTCGCAAATAATAGATGTAGAAGATAGATAGAGAGAGAGAGAGGAAAAACCGGCAGGGCCCACTCGGGTATCTCTTCTCTCCTCGGCCGGAGGGCCGGGACCACCTAGAGGAGGAGGCCAGTTCGGTGGGGAGAGCGCGACAGGTCATCCCTCATCACTCTGAAGTCTCCCAACCAAAAACGGAAACAACTTACGCAGGGTAGAGAAAAAGGGTCGGGACCCCCAATAGCACCCCTCAGTACACGGCTTGGACTTTTTTACGTACTTGATTGCAGAAAAATCTTACGAATTTGGATCTCATGCAAGGTATTTGTCCATGATAAGAAATGGCATGGATGCATGAATTAGTTGAAAATTTTGTTCTAGAATACTGTTATTTGCATGTGTGTCTGTGTATATATAATACAATTGATAATGCGCGTAGTAGGTACTCATTAGTAGGGTACTATAGTAGTACGATTTAGTAGTATATGTCTATAGTATTCTATAATATATATTATATTATATATATATATATATATATATAGGTGAAAACTTGTGTAAACTTAAGTGGATTAGGGAATAGTGTGTCCACCAAAGTTTTAACCCGTCATATTGCCTAGGGATGCCTTGTATTATATAAAAATGTGTTATATTAATAAGATGCTGGGCTAGGAACTTTGGTAGACATCAACTTAAGTTGATAGGAGTCTTGCTATATATATATATATATATATATATATACTATATATATAGTATATATATATATATATATATATATAGCTATATTGATATAATAGTACTAGCATTATCATGTATATGTATTATGATTTCTTAACGCCCAATGTAAAGGAGTCCTTACTCCTTACTATTCAATCGTATCATATCTTAACTATTTTTTAGAGGGTATAATACGGGTATAAAAATTGTTTTTTGGGGGAAATACATACTAAGATAACATTTGTAGAGTAAAATGTGGATCTGCGTTTGCATAATCAATTTTGATGCGATAATATTGCAAATGCAGTAATTTGACTTGCTACATTATAGTGGCATTTACAATGCTTAGGACCAACTATTCTTCCTCTTTCTTATTGGACTATAATTCTATTTGTATGGATGTGTACTGATGGATATAATGGTTTGTACGTGCTTGTAATAATTTATATTAGATATGGTTGGTATCTGTTTATGTCAGGAAATTGATGTGTGATTTGAGAGGGTTGAACTCAATTTTTGGGTCTATTGATCTCCATGCATAGTTGATTTTCCCACTATGGATCGTACATGTGTTTCGCTACAAATGTAACTGATGTTAGAGGTACCTGAGGTTGTTTTCTCCGGCGTGCGCTCCGACGTTCAAGTCTGTGACCTTTTCTAGTTAATATGAAAAGAAAAACAGAGTATCGTCTTATTAACTATTATGCATAAAATTGCGTTACCTTGGTTTGGTGGAGATCACCATTATTTATAGAAGATTTATAGGGGCACGTTGGTAATTTTTGTGTGGTGTCTGCAGTGCTGGCTTAGACATGCTTTACATGTGTCGATAGTTGGTTGGCCAAGTCGTATTTTGCACAGTGATGGGACTGTCGGAGTAATGACATGTCCTAGAAGCTTTGAAGACTCTGGCTCGAACAGTCATAAATGACTGATGCTACATTAATGGCCTGATGGTTATTGGGCGGTGAAGTATGGTCACTGGATATACATTCATCGAATGTCGTGCACCTTTTGTTATCACTTGTCAGGCCACTGTATGGTTTCTAGTCCGAGTGGGGAACACATTTCATCTCGAAGCTGGTCATCCAGTGATATTCCAATCAAGAGTGCCTTTCATCTAGGATTTGGTTCTCGAGATGAGTTAGCCATTTGAGCACTCGGGTCATGCATATTTTTAGAGTTGTCCAGCTTAGTGTCACATGACCACTCTTTTAGACTTAGTAATTTCCATTGTATAACATTGACCCCTTTTCACTTAGACTCGAGAAGCCAAGTTTGAGTAAAAATGATTCGGCCCGTGCTAAAACCTAGACCGTCCTTATTGCGAGCAACTGTGATTTGACATTCCTGACGTCGGCGGAGATCGTGTGGTGGCTTTTGATGGTGTGGTGTCTCGTTTGACTCGACATCGCTTTGGCTTTTTCAAACAGTGATTGGTTTTTCATGAAACGTACTAACCATTAGCTTTCTGCCATGTATCATCCTTATAACGTTCCTCTTTCTTGCTGATGAGAACTTATTATGTGTGATCCCCGACGATGGTCTTCACTATGCCCTTCAAGGTTACTTCACCCAAAGGGCTCTCTTGGAATTCGAGTCGGTCCGATGACTTGAGATCTACAAGGAGCTCTTCTTCAAGCTTTGGGCCGAACTGGAGGCGCAGAGAGAGGCTCATATGGTGGAAAGCTTGCAGCTGCTACTAAAGATAGCGTACTTGATGAGCTAGCGCACTCAGGCCGTGAATGAGAGGGAGTTGGCCCGAAAGGACGAGGAGCTGAAGGCGGCAGCAACTGGTGCTCGGCGTCACAAGGCTCGCCTGAAATAGGCTCAGGAGGAGGTGAAAAGCCTCCAGGAAGACCTCTATCAAGCTCATCATGACACAAGATTTTCCGAGGAGAGACTATCATATCTTGAGTCGGAGGTCCTAGTTGAGAAGATGGAGAAGGAGGACGCTTTCGAGACGACCCATATAGCTCGGATTGAGGCTGAGGAGCTACAGCCCATGCTAAATGAGGAGATGATTCTTCAGGAGACCCTCTGTCAAGAAGTGGCTCGAGTGACCACGGAGGCTAAACAACAGCTCAACTCTCTGCACACCCAGGTTTGAGAACTTGAGACTCGGATAGCTCATCTGAAGTCTAAAGTATTCAAGACTGCGGCAATAAAGAAGTACCGTGACTGTTACATGGGTAAAGTTGAGATGACCCTCATTTGCAAGGTAGGGTTTGATTATATAAAGGGTCAGCTCCCTCCCAAGCTTCTGCTGAAAGTGGACCACTTCAAGTATCCTTTTTGGGTGGTAAATTGCCTCGATATCCTCATGATGCTCTAAGTGCAAAGTGGTCTAGTGATAGTGCTAGAGGATGATAAGGGCGCCAAGGAAGAGGATGAGGAGGAGGTTTCCGATGGATATGCTAGTGAGGGCCTTGATGACGGCACCGACCCTTCTTCTTCGCTTGAGAAGTCTAACTCCCCTCCATTGGATGCACCGGCTAAGATTTCTTCCCGACTCAAGCCCTAGATATTGCTCCTTGAGCAAATTTTTTTTATAGTCTTTAAGAGTCTTGTAATCATCTTTGTAAATGAATGATAAAGACTTTGTTCTATCGACTCACTTTTTTTCGGTTAAGTCTTTGTAAAAGAGACTTGTAATCACTTTTGCAAATGAATGAAAGGACTTTCTTTTTGTGGACTCATTCTTTCACAATTAGTTTATGAGCTATTTCTCATTTGTGCTTTTGTTTTTTGAGACATTCTCGAACAAGTAGGTAAGAACCAAGTCGTGATTTACCTTCTAGGTACATCGGTGAAGACCGAGTCACTCCTTGGTGTCGTGCACCTAAGGCTGGTTAGAGTCTTTCGGTTTGGATC